CCCCAAACCCTAAACCCCTAAACCCCTAAACCCCTAAACCCCTAAACCCCTAAACCCCTAAACCCCTAAACCCCTAAACCCCTAAACCCCTAAACCCCTAAACCCCTAAACCCCTAAACCCCTAAACCCCTAAACCCTAAACCCTTCGCTTCCACCTCCGAGGAATCTCGTGGAATGGAACGCCCTTGGCCTTGGCACTTGGCTTCTGGGGGCTTTTGGGGCTTTGGGGGCTTTTAGGGCTTAGGGTTTAGGGTTTACGGTTTAGGGTTTGGGGCTCTTTTAGGGCCTGAAAGGGGCTGTTAAGGGCTTTAAGGGGCTTTGAGGGCTTTGAGGGCTTTTGGGGGCTTCCGGCTTCAGGATTTTGGTGCTTTTAGGGTTTGGGGGGGTAGGGGGGGAGAGTGGAGTGGAGGGGGCAGGGGCAACTGCCTGCTCAATACCGGACTCCCATTTCCGCAGGGGCGACGTTTTGGGTTTAGGGTTTGGGGTTCATGGTGTACGTAGTGATTGTTTCTCCAGCAAAATTTGCACGACGCTTCAGACCCCAAGCCCTATAAAATCACCCTGAAAGACGCTAAGCACTGGAACACTGGAACCCCTCCAACCACGTTCCCTAAGCCTGAACCCCAAACTCTAAACCCCAAACCCACTTCCGAGGAACCCGCGGTGAATGGAAGGCCCTTGGCCTTGGCAGCTCGACAAGGCCCTGGGCTTTCGGGTCTGAAAGGGGCTGTATGAGCTTGAAGGCTTTCAGGGCTTTAATGTTGAGAGAGCTTTAAGGGGGGCTTCCGGCTTTTCAGGATTTGGTAGGGTTTGGGGGGGTTGGAGGGTTGGGGTGGAGTGGGGCGGAGAGGGGGGGGGGAATCTGCTTGCTCAATGCCGGACCCCCATCTCCGCCAGGGGGGGCGTTTTGGGTTTAGTGTTTAAGATTCATGCTGTATCTGAATGTTTCCTCAAAGAGGTGCACTGGCTCCAAACTTCAAGCCCCAAGCTTTAAGCACCCTGAAACCTCCAACCCCAAACCATACAGCCTGGGCCTTCTCCAGAGCCTCGCACATCCTCCCAGGCCACCAGGAGGAGGTCCGCGCGCTGCTCAAGGCGAGATGTTTCCCTCCGGACTCCTTAGGAGCTTTAGGTAGGGTTCAGGGTTTAGGGTTTAGGGATTCAGGGTGTTTGGGTGTTTCGGGGTTATGGTTGGGGTCTAGAGTTTAGGGGTTTAGAGTTACAAAAAGAGTCGGGGCTCGACCTCAGCTCTCGTCAAGGGATGTTTCCTGCGACCAGACGACTGCGAAAATGTGCATTGTCTACCACTCTACCATATCATGCCCTGACAATTGCCGGTGAGCCCTACGAAGCAGATCCAAAACCCCAATCTTCCGCTGAGGCAAACTTGTGGGAGGGGGGGGGGGGACTGGGCTGGCCAAGCCTTGCAGGGATTGCAAGGGTGAGCGAGTTGCCTCTGTCCGCCTTTCCGTTTGGGGACAGGGCTTCGGCTTCTTTTGCGCGGTGGGTCCAGGTCTCAGGGTTGGAGGTTTTTGGGCTTGGGTTGGGCAATTTGGGGTTCAGGGTTTAGGGCTTTGGGACGTTTTTAGAGGGGTTATGGAGGGTGTGGGTTCCCTCTCGGTGGTGGGGGATCCCTGTGCAAGCCTGGCAGGCCACAAGGCACCAATGCCACACCCCCTATCTCAAGGGAGGAGGCAATGGTTCTGCGTCCCTATAAACGACCATTCTCCGAAGTGCCCAACTTCAAACAAGTGGTCAACTTCCAAGCTCGCGAAGCCCCAAAGGCCCAAACAGACCTGAACTCCCGAACTCCTCATCTCGCTGAACTGCCGAAGCACTTACAACGCTGCATTGAAAACACCCTACAAACCCCATAAGCCCCATACCAATCCTATAAGCTACGCTCTAACCCTAACCCTTCCCCTGCTCCCACCCGCTGCACTCCAGGTCCGTCCCCCTGCGCTCACCTGGTAGGGGCCGAGCCCGCAGGCGCCTCGCTTGGGGCTTCATTGGGTGCTTTCAGGTAGAGTTTCAGGGTTTAGGATTTAGGGTTGGTTAAGTTGAGGGTTTAGGGAGGGTTCAAGGGTTTAGGATCAGTCGGGGCTTCGGTACTTCGAAGTAGGGCCATAAGTCGGGTCATAAGAGATGGAGCCCTTCTAAGCCTCGTACATCCCCAACAGAAGACGACAGGGCCGCCACGGGGCTTGTGAATGTCTTTCCTGCTGAAACTTTATCGTAGTTTGGGGGAGGGCCGACAAGGTCTCCAGCCTTCTGACTCCAGGGTGCTTGACTAGAGTTCAGAGTGCCAGGCCTTCGGGTTCGGATTTTGGGGGGGGTTTTAGCGCTTTTTGCGGGTGGGGCCCAAAAAAAACTTTGAGGGGCTCAACAGGGCAGAGGATGGGATAAGGATCTTGTCGGGGTGGATTTCCTCCGTGATGAAGGCTTTGGAGTTTCCTGGGCTCAGGGGTCGCCGTCTCTCCACACCGCATTGTCCCCGAACATGCTGCTTTTGCTGTCGGCTCTGTCGGCTTCTGTAGGCATTCTATTTCTGTTTGGGTCCATCTGCACGTGTTGTCGGTCTTCGGGGGGGAAGGAGGCTTCGAGTTTTTTTGTTGGGGTTTCGGGGCGGACGTGATGAACGTTCTGTTAGGTTAGGGTTTAGAGTTTAGGGTTTAGGGTTTAGGGTTTAGGGTTTTAGGGTTTAGGGTTTAGGGTTTAGGGTTTAGGGTTTAGGGTTTAGGGTTTAGGGTTTAGGGTTTAGGGTTTAGGGTTTAGGGTGGGCCCTGAAATCGGCGCGTTTAAGGGCTTTACGGGCCTTTCAGGGCTTTAAGGGCTCTAGGGCTTTTGGGGGGCTTCCGGCTTTAGGATTTTGGCGCTTTCAGGGTTTGGGGGGGTTGGGGGGGCAGAGTGGAGTGGAATGGGGCGGGGGCGACGTTTTGGGTTTAGGGTTTGGTGTTCATGGTGTAGTGATTGTTTCTCCAGCAAGATGATGCACCTTTATGACACCCAAGCCCTAAGCACCCTGAACCACCACCTCCAACCCCCATTCCCTAAAGCCCGAATCTCTCACATCCGCCCAGGCCCACCAGGAGGTGGTCCGCGTCCGGCTCAAGGCGAGATACGGGCAGTTTGCCTCCGGGCTCCTCAGGAGCTTTAAGTAGGTTTCAGGGTTTAGGGGTTTAGGGTTCAGGCGTTTAGGTGTTTAGGGGTCATGGTTTGGGGCTTAGGGGGTTAGGGTTTAGGGCTGCCACAAAATGTGTCGGGCTCGAACTCAGCTCTTGTGTGTACGTGTTGTCGGTCTTCGGGGGGGCAGGTGTCCAGCTTTTTTGTTGGGGTTTGGGGAGGGTGGAGAGCAGGAGGACGTGATGAACGTTATGTTAGGTGTCTGCAGGTTTGTTTGGTGTTCGGGCGAGTCAGGTGGACGCCTTTCAGCGAGGCTTTTGTCGGGTCAGCAGGTGAGTTACAATCGTGCTTGGTGGCATGGGCAGCGAACTTAGGACTGCATGAACCCGAGAAATTCTCATGGTAATCGTGTTTAGGGTTATCCCAGGCAAAAAAAGTCTCGTAGTAATCGTGTTGACCGTTATCCCAGGTATAGGGTCCATTTGGCCAAGGTTGCGAAAGGGATAGCACACATCAGCTTGCCGGCCGATGTCAACCCTACACCTTCTTTGGGGCTTGGGGTTTTAGGGTTTTAGGGTTTTAGGGTTTTAGGGTTTTAGGGTTTTAGGGTTTTAGGGTTTTAGGGTTTTAGGGTTTTAGGGTTTTAGGGTTTAGGGTTTTAGGGTTTAGGGAGTAATTCTTGACCCGAGGGCAGTTCTGTTGGGGCTTTGGGGCGCTTCAAGGGCTCAGGGGCTTCCGTAGGGGGAGTGGGGGGGCAAATTTCTGCTCAATAGCAGATTCCCGTTTCTGCCAGGGGCGACGTTTAGGGTGCAGGGAGTTTAGGGTTCATGGTGTAGTGATTGCTTCTCCAACAAAAATGATGCACTTTTATGACGCTTCAAAGCCCACACCCCTCCGACCGTTTTTCGTGCCTGAACCTTCTCCAGGGCCTCTCACATCCGCTCCGGTCACCAGGAGGTGGTCCGCGTGCTGCTCAAGGCGAGATACGGGCAGTTTATTCCGGACTTCTTGGGAGCTTGAGAGTTTAGGATTATGGGGTTTTGCAGGGTTTAGGGGCTTAGGGTTCAGGGTTTAGGGGCTGAGAGTTTAGGGTCGGGGCTCGACCTCGGCTCTTGTCGAGGCATGTTTCCCCTGAAAAGTCTGACAACTGCCGGTGGGCCCTAAAACAAGATTTAAAACACCAATCTTCCACTGAGGCAAACTTGTGGGAGGGGAGGGGAGGGGGAGGGACTGGGCTGGCCAACCTTGCAGGCATTGCAGCGTTTGGGGACAGGGCTGGGGTTTGGCAATTTAAGGGTTCAGGGTTTAGGGCTTTGGGGCGTTTCTACAGGGGTTGTGGAGGGTTTGGGTTGAGGCTTCCGATTGACCTCTCAGTGGTGAGGGGTCCCACTGCAACCCCGGCAACCCCTTCACTAGGCACAGAGCCTGCAGTCCTGGAAAAATGGACCTTGCAAAGCTCTTGTGAAGCCTTGTCAACTCATCCCAAGCGTGAGGCCGATGCCTCCGATGCCGCCGGAAGCTGGGGGGGAGCGTGCAACTCGATGAGGCTTGGGACGTATGTGCGTGTGTAGGTGGCGGGAGGGCTTTGGGGGCCTTAACCTGGCTTGCGACCCTGAACCCCAACTCCCTCAAAAGAGCGGCGAAGCTGCCCGTAGCGGGCTTAGCTTAAGCACGAGTCAAAGAAGTAGTGAAGAACATGTCGGAGTGTCTTCTACTTGTGTAGAAGAGCAGGGGAAAAAGCGGGGGATTAATTCGGGGAGTCTATCCGCGCGGTTTGAAGGGGCTGTGAACTCTTTGATCGGACTTGTCATGTTCTCCAGCAGTTCCGGCTGTAGCACTGTAGCAGTTAGTATTCCTGACGCCTGCTCTCTTGCACGATGCTGCGGGTGATCCAGATGTCAGGGGAGGAAGTGGCCGCAGTGCCTCTCGAGGAGGTGAGCAGCATGAAGGCCCTCAAGCAGCTCCTGAACCTCCTGAATCACCAGTATGGCCTGCCGCCGCGATTCAGGCAGAGGCTGCTTCTAAATGGCACCGACGCAATCTTGGATGACAATGCCGAGCTGCACGCCTCTATGAACTCTTTGGTACTCCAAATTCTCAAGACACCTCTCCGCAGCCCTTCCCCAAGAGCAGCGACAGTACTGACCTTGGGCGCCAGACATGTTTCCCCTGCTCAGGCAGGGTCAACGAAACCATCTGTTTGCTTATTGCACTGAGTCGTTGTGAGTTCAGCAATAGGTTCGTAGCTGCGCATCTTTTCTTTCCAGGTCGAGTTCTTATTGCTGCGGCCACAGGACTCGGAGTTTTGGGGAGTAGGCCCGCCGAACCCGGAAACCTCCCGCAAACCCCTCAAACCTTGAAGCCGCCCCAACGTCCCCTCCTCAGGACCCCGACTTGGAGGACGCACATGGCAAAACACCGCTTGTCGCTGCATCCGTTTTTGGCCGACTTGAAAACGCGCGCTTGCTGCTGGAGGCACGTGCAGACATCCACAAGGCCGGCAAGTTTCGACAGGCAGCTGGGCAGCCTCCATGTGTTGTACAGCCTCTATGGGCAGCGTCACACCAAGGCCACGTGGATCTTGTGCAGCTTTTGTTGGAGGCCAGTGCCTATAAGGACTGGGCCGAGGACCGTCAGGGCAGGACAGCTTTGATTGTGGCCTCTGATAAAGGAAATTCGGAGACTGCGAAAGTGCTTCTGGGCGCTGGCGCCGACAGGGACCTGGCCATGAACCAGGGCTTCACGGCTCTGATGCTTGCCTCTCAGAAAGGCCACTCCAACACTGCGAAAGTGCTACTGGACGCAGGTGCCAAAAAGGACCTGGCCACCGACCACGGCGTCACGGCTCTGATAGTTGCCTCTCTTAATGGACATTCGCAGACAGTGAGGGTGCTGCTGGAAGCCGGTGCTGACACGGACCTGGCCGACAGCGAAGGCTGCACTGCCCTGATTCTGGCCTCTGGCAAAGGTCATCTTGAGACAGTCTTGCTGTTGCTGGAGGCCGGTGCCAGCAAAGACCTGGCCAGGAACATGGGCTACACCGCGTTGATCCTGGCCTCTGCAAGGGGCCGTGTGGAAGTGGCCCGGTTACTGGTGGAAGCGGGCGCTGACAAGGACAGGACAAGCCACGTCATGCCGGAGTTGCTCGTTTTTTGCTGCTGGAGGCCGGCGCGGACAAGGACCTGGCCGACCACAAAGGCAGGACGGCTCTGACGCTGGCCTCCAAAGCAGGCCATGGTGAGATCGTCACCTTGCTGGAGGATCGGAAGCGGCCGAGGTTGCAGTGAGAGCGGATGTCCACGACAAAGAAGGAAAATTGAGCTTTGGGATTTCGGGGCCTGGCTTATGATCTTTGAGTTCGGCTTGAACTCATCATTTTGTCCTGACAGGTATATAGAGATGATTCAGAGATTTTAAAGGGGTTGTAAGCTACTAGACTGGATCTCCACGCATAGACTCGGCTAAGCTTTGAGCTTTCGGGGGTCTCGCCTTGCACGTAGCGGCGTAGCGACTTCCCAGAGTTTCGGAATGGGGCATACCGCTTCATGAAGCTTACAAGCGCCCGCAGAAGCCCTTCCACAAATCGCGAAATCTCAGGAGACGAGTCAGGGGTTCCGGGTTTATAGAGTGTCGGGCGAAGCCCACCCACACACACCCACACACACACACACACACACACACACAAACACACAAACACACAAACACACAAACACACAAACACACAAACACACAAACACACAAACACACAAACACGCAAACACACAAACACACACACACACACACACAGACACACAGACACACAGACACACAGACACACAGACACACACACACACACAGACACACAGACACACACACACACACACACACACAGACACACAGACACACAGACACACAGACACACAGACACACAGACACACAGACACCCAGACACACAGACACACAGACACACAGACACACAGACACACAGACACACAGACACACAGACACACAGACACACAGACACACAGACACACAGACACACACACACACACACACACACAATAAACCCCACAAACCCTTCATCAACCCCCCGGAAGCAGAAACGCGTGAAACTCCAGGCCCGCCGCTTGTGCGCGACTGCGCCTTGCTCGGAGGCTCACGGGTCCTTTCAAGAGAAGTGTGCAAGGGTTGAGGATGTATAGGGAGGGTTTAAGTCGAAGGGTTTACGGATTTGTGGTACTTGGAGTTTTTACAAGCAGGGCGACTACAGTTAGCCTGCGTTTAAACCCTACTACGTCTTAGACTTACCCATGATTCTCCAAGTATCAGGGCCGCAGAATTTGAAAGAGCCCGCGTCACCGAAGTCGCGAACTTTCTTGTACATGTTGTCATCTAGTGTTGAGTGTCGGGCTTCTTTGTGCCGGCATCTGCTGAACATTACGTCCCACGACCCAGAACCCTAAGCTCCCAAACTCCTGCACCTGGACCCAACAACACCCTCAAAACATCCCCCTGCAACCCCGAAGCCCGCCATCTCCAACAGAAGACGACAGGGCGGCCGCTATGGCGATCTGCAAACGCCCGTCTCGAAGTCGAGTCGGGGCCCCTGAACGTCTTTCCTGCTAGAACCTTATCGGGGTTTGGGGGAGGGCCTATAAGGGGTCTCCAGCCTTCTGACTCCAAAGTGTTTAAGCTAAAGTTCAGTGTTTTAGGGTGGCGCCCAAAAAGCTTTGAGGAACTGAACGGGGCCGAGGGTGGCATGGCCTAGGATCTTGTAGGGGTGGGATTTCCTCCGTGCTGAAGGCTCCCTCAGGGAACCCTTTGGCTTTGGAGTTTCCTGGGCTTAGGGGCCACAAGATGTCGGTAACCGTCTCTCCACACCGAGTCCCGAACATGCTGCATGCGCTGTCGGCTCCTGTAGGCATGCCATGTCTGTTTGGGCCTCTGTGTGTGTACGTGTTGTCGGTCTTGGGGGGGGTCAGGTTTCGAACCTTTCTTTGTTGGGGTTTGGGTGGGGGGAGACGTGTGATGAACGTTATGTTGGGTGTCTGCAGGGTTGTTCGGTGTTGGGTCTGAAAGGGGCTTTAAGAGCTGGGCTTTAAGGGTTTTGAAGGCTTTTAAGGGCTCTAGGATTTTGGGGGGATTCGGGCTTTAGGTTTTGGGGGGGTTGGAGAGTTGGGCGGGGTGGGGGGTTGGGGGGGGGAGGGAAGGGGGGGGGGGGAGGCGGGCGGGCGGGGGGGAATCTGCTCCGCTAGGGGGACGTTTTGGGATTGGGGTCCAAGGTTCATGCTGTATCTGAATGTTTCCTCAAAGAGGTGTACTGGCTCCAAACTTCGAACCCCAAGCTTTAAACGCCCTGAACCTCCAACCCCAAACCATACAACCTGGACCTGCTCCAGAGCCCCATCCGCCAAGGCGAGATGCAGGCAGCTTCCCTCCGGACTCCTTTGAAGCTTTAGGGTTCAGGGTTCAGGTGTTTAGAAACGGGGTCATGGTTAAATAATGGTTTAGGGGTTTTGGAGTTTCGGGCTGCCACAAAAAAATTGTCGGGGCTCGACCTCAGCTCTCGTCGAGGCATCAGACGATTGCGAAAATCTGCAAGGTCTGTTGAGCTCATGTCCCCCATACTCCCCTCTGGGGTTTAGGGTTTAGGGTATAGGGTTAAGGGTTTAGGGTCTACCAGGTCGACCGTTCCATGCCACAATGGCCGGTAAGCGCTCACACAGATTTAACAAACCCAATCTTCCGCTGAGGCAAGCATGTGGGGGGGAGGGAAGGGGAACTGGTAGACGAGCAGACCAGCAGGTGCGGAGGATTGCTCAGCCCAGCCCGGGGCCGAGCCTCGCAGGGACTGCAGGGACAGACGTGTGGCCTAGTTGCCTCTGTCCATCTTGTCGTGTGCGGATACTTCGGAGGTTTAGGGTTGGCGTTGGCAGTTATGTTTTATTATTGTTCTTTGTGTTACTTGTTTCTTTTCTGTTTTTTTTTTTTGGAGGGGGGGGGGGGGGGGTGGTTCAGGGTTTCGGGCTTTGGGTTGTTTTAGATGATGAGGGTTTGCTCTTACAACTACAGCCACCTGTGAAAAAGTTGAGTTTTCCATGCTTTGAAGTCCAGAGAAGCTTTAGCGATTGAGCTCTCAAAACGTAAGCTCGGGTGGGGGATCTCTGTGCAACCCCGGCACTCGGCAACCCCTTCGCAAGGCACCAATGCTACCCCCTAACTGCACCTTAAACCCTCCCCAACCAACGAACCCTAAAAGCCGTGAACCTTCGGCCCCCTTCGAAGCCTCCTTTTCCGCGAGAGCCAGAAACGAATCCTGGGGCGCCAAACCCCTGAAACTCCAAGATGCTCAAAACCCTCAACGCCAAATCCCCAGCCCAGAAACCTAAGATCCTCACCAACAGCCTGAAAACCGAAGCCGCTGAAGCGCACATTGCTGAACTCTGAATGAAGCTCAGAGGTAGCCCAGATTGAGGGATTTGTAAGGTTGAAGAAGCTCTCAGCTCCCCAAAAATGGGTAAAATTCCCGACCATCGCCGAGGGTTGGGCGCCTTCTTCGTGCCTTCATCGATCTTGGCTTCCGAGCTTCATGGGGACAGAGGTGGGGAGGTTGGCATAGTGAAAGTGTTCTTTTGGGGGGTACTTTTTTTGGGGGGGTTCCAAGGAATCAAGAAGAACTGCTCTGTTTGGGTCGTCTTCTGGGAGGCCTTCGGCTGAGTCCTGGGGATGCGAGCCAACTCAGCGGCTAGAACGGCCAGCCGCACCTGTGACACATTGCGCACTTGCTCATAACTTGTGCTTGTTCTGGCATGACGGTCATTCAAGCCTAGACGAGAAGGCGGACTTGCTTGGAGGATCTGCTCCGCGACTCCGCGGCTCCGCGACTCCGCGGCTCCGCGGCTCGCACGTGGGCGCAAGGGCCCCGACAAGTTCGTTATGGGTTTGCTCTGCTCTGCAAAGGCTGCGTCCCTGGAGCTCAAACCGCGAAAAAGCAACCCTGAGCCCAACCTTTCCGAAATTCACTGAAGTGATCTGATTTGCAGATCCTCAACCTTTGCACCCTGCGACAAGGCCATGTTCTCGCGATGTTGTCCTCGCAGCGTCGGCGCTCAGCTTGCGCCTGCACTGGACACAGTCGGGGTTTAGGGCCGGGGGCTTCGGGGTTTGAAGCCATCAGCCCAGAGAAAAGCCTCAGCAACCCTTGGGCCCGAAGCCGTTCAAAACCCGGCCTTCAACGCTTTTGGGGGCTCTCACTGCAAGCTTGGGACATCAGCTTGGCGTTTTTTACAGGGGTCGCCGTCTCTCCACACCGAAGAAGTCCCGAAATCCCCCCATTGTTGTGAAAACGCCTACAGGGCCTACGTACGTGGCCCAGGGCAGTTTCTGTGTAGGCATTATCACAAAAACCGATCCTCAGAGCATTCTTCTTCATTTTTCTGGAGAGCAACCTGGAGAATGCGGAAAAGTCGACTTCTTGTGACCTCTAGCGTGTGGAAGCCGGGCTCTCGGCTGCAGCTTTGGCGTGGCGGGACATCGGTTTGCCAAAGAATTCTCGCGTTGCAAGAACTTCAGTGTATGCTCTAAAAGGCCATATTAGCCTATAGAAGCTGGTGACGTAGCGGAAGAATGCCCCGGGCAGTTTCTGAACACGTAAGAAAATGCGGCATTTTCCCAGGCACCCACACCGGAACAGATAGGGGATGTCCCGAACATGCTGCATTTGCTCACGTCTGTAGGCTTACCATGTAATTTGGGTCCGTCTGTACGTGGTGTCGGTCTTCGGGGGAGGCAGGTTTCGAGTTTTTGTTGGTTGCGGTTTGGGGGTGACGTGACTGCAGGGTTTGTTAGGGCGATTCAGGTGGACGCCTTTCAGCGAGGCCTTTGTGAGGACAGAAGGTGAGTTACCAATCTTGTTTTCACTCCCCAGGGCTTGGGGGCATCGGGCAGCGAACTTCGGACTACCCGAACCTTTAGAAGTTCTCATAGTAATAGGGCTTAGGGCTATCCCAATTATAAGGTTCATGTGGCCAAGGTTGCGAAAGGGAGAGCACACATCAGCTTGCCAACCGATGTCAACCCTACACCTTATGTCCAAACCCTAAACCCGAATTACTCCCTCAACCCTAAACCCTAAACCCTATAAGCCCCAAGCCCCAAACCCCAAACCCCAAGCCCCAAACCCCAAACCCCAAACCCCAAACCCTTCCAGCTCCGAGGAACCTCGTGAATGGAAGGCCCTGGCGTTGGCAGCTCGGGTTTCCTTGGCATTTTGGGGCCCTTAACAGGGGGGGTTTAGGGCCTGAAAGGGGCTCTTAAGAGTTTATGAGGGCCTTCATTCAGGATGTTGGTGCTTTTAGGCTTTGGCGGGTTGGGGCGGGGGGGGGGAACGTTTTGGGTTTAGGGTTGGCGCTCTTTTACGACACAACCCCGTTCCCTAAAGCCTGAGCCCTCCCCCGAATCTCTCACATCCACCCAGGCCCACCAGGAGGTGGTCCGCCTGCTGCTCAAGGCGAGATTGCGGGCAGTTTCCCTCCGGACTCCTCAGGAGCTTTAAGTACTTAAGTAGATTTCAGGCTTTAGGGGTTTAGGGTTCAGGTGTTTAGGTGTTTAGGGTCATGGTTTGGGACTTAGGGGTTTAGGGTTTAGGGCTGCCACAACAGTGTCGGGGGCTCGAACTCAGCACTTGTCGAGGCATGTTTCCTGCGACTGCGAAAATGTGCAATGCCTACCGTTTCATGCCCTGACAATGGCCGGTGAGCCCTATGAAGCTGATCTTAAACCACTATCTTCCACTGAGGTAAGCTTGTGGTGGGGTGGGGGGGGGGGGGGAACTGGTAGTCGAGCAGACCAGCAGGCGTGGCGGAAAGCTCAGCCCGGCGGGTCCAGGGCTCCGGGTTTGGAGGTCTTTGGGCTGGGGTTCGGCAATTTTGGGTTCATTCAATTTTAGAGGGCTTTCGGAGTTTGGGGGGAGCAAGGCTCGAAAGGGACTCCCCCTGCGCCCCGTACTGAAGTCCCGAGCTTTCCTGAAAATGTCGCATCGGGGCTGTGCGTGATTGCGGCGTAGTGCGGCGTCGGGCTTTTGGGGCAGGCTTCCACGCCCCAAAGACTTCCAAATCATCCATATCTAAACAAACCAGAGCATGAACTCCGGCCGCCAACCTGAAGGAACTTAGCTTGCCGCCATCACCTGAAAATCCGAAACACCTCGACTGGCCCTGGGCTGAATACGCTTCGCTTGGATCAGCGCGAGGCCGAGACGCGGAGCGCTCACAGCACGAAATGTTCGGCTCCGACCTCGTCTTCGGGGTATTGTACGGGAGCACCTTGCCGCCGCAAGGCCCCCCCAAGTCCCAGGCCCCATGGGACCTGTAAGACCTTCGGAATGGCACCCGCCTCTTGTCAAAGCCCTTCTGCTCGAGGCACGTCTCGAGCCTTTTGCTGCGAACTGCGCAGCAGCACCACATTCAGACGTTATAATCATTATGTAAATTGTCTAGAGTCCGTAGGGTAGTAGAGGGTACCGGAAAGATGTATCGCTGGCCTGTGCTATGGCTCTGCAGCTTGGCCGCGTCAGCCGGGCCCAAGGACGAGCTCTTTGCAGCCGTGAGCGCCGGCGATGCAGATGCAGTTCAGAGGCTACGGGCTTTTGGTCTTGGCATAGTGGTGGCGGTGGGTTTTCGATTTGCGATAGACCGAATAGACGTTCTGGCTTATGGCTTGTTGTTGATCAGCCCAGGCCCCAAAAGCCCGAAACTCTTTAAATTCGCCCGGGCAGGCTTCTGGCCAGTGGCAGCTTCACGGGCGCCAACGACATGGTGTTCTTCGATGAGTATGGGGAGAAGTCCACTCTGCTGCATGAAGCCAGCTTGCAGGGAGATGTCGCTGTCGTGCGGTTACTACTCACTGCCTGGCCAGAGGGTGCGCAAGCCACGGACGGTTGGGACCGGGTGCCGTTGCACCTCGCTTGCCGCAACGGCAGCATCGAGCTCGTGAAGCTTCTGTTTGACCAGTGGCCCGACGGACTCAAGCTTGGTGACGGCAGGGGCGAGACTCCTTTGCACTACGCAGCCTGGAACGGCAGCATGGAGCTTGTTCGGTTCCTCCTGCTGCAGTGGCCCAAGGGCCTCACGGTTGCGGACCGTTGGGGCGTTACACTTCTGCACGCTGCAGCCAGTCATGGCGACACCGAGATCGTTCGTTTCCTTGCCCAGCAATGGCCTGATGGCCTCAAGCTTGCTGACGTCTGGGGCGAGACTCCTTTGCACAAAGCAGCCGATAGTAACAACACCGAGATCGTTCTTTTCCTTGCCCAGCAATGTCCTGATTGCCTCAAGCTTGCTGACGTCTACGGCTGGACTCCTTTCCACGCAGCAGCCAGTGGTGACAACATCGAGATAGTTCGTTTCCTTGCCCAGCAATGTCCTGATTGCCTCAAGCTTGCGGACGATGGCGGCCAAACTCCTTTGCACATAGCAGCCAGTCGTGACAACATCGAGATAGTTCGTTTCCTTGCCCAGCAATTGCCCGACGGCCTCAAGCTTGCGGACGATGGCGGCCAAACTCCTTTGCACATAGCAGCCAGTCGTGACAACATCGAGATCGTTCGTTTCCTTGCCCAGCAATGTCCTGATTGCCTCAAGCTTGCTGACGTCTGGGGCCAAACTCCTTTGCACGAAGCAGCCAGTGGTGGCAACATCGAGATCGTTCGTTTCCTTGCTCAGCAATGGCCCGACGGCCTCAAGCTTGCGGACGATGGCGGCCAGACTCCTTTGCACGAAGCAGCCAGACATGGCAACATCGAGATCGTTCGTTTCCTTGCCCAGCAATGGCCCGACGGCCTCAAGCTTGCGGACGATGGCGGCCAAACTCCTTTGCACATAGCAGCCAGTCGTGACAACATCGAGATAGTTCGTTTCCTTGCCCAGCAATGGCCCGACGGCCTCAAGCTTGCGGACGATGGCGGCCAAACTCCTTTGCACATAGCAGCCAGTCGTGACAACATCGAGATAGTTCGTTTCCTTGCCCAGCAATGGCCCGACGGCCTCAAGCTTGCGGACGATGGCGGCCAAACTCCTTTGCACGAAGCAGCCAGTGGTGGCAACATCGAGATCGTTCGTTTCCTTGCCCAGCAATGTCCTGATTGCCTCAAGCTTGCGGACGATGGCGGCTGGACTCCTTTGCACTACGCAGCCATAGGTGACGGCGTTCAGGTCATCCAACTCCTCCTGGCGCAATGGCTCGAAGCAAGTGCTGCTGACACAGACGGCTTGAAAGTGGAATGCCGCTTCCTGGTCGACACAGTTTGCAATCTCAACCTGAATGAAGTCCCTCAAGCCTGGAAGGAGGCTGCGGTGGACTTGCAGTGCTCAAAGCCGGAGGATTTGTCGAAGACGGATGTGCAACTCTGGCTTGACGGCTGTGGCGGGCGCCCCAGTTGGGCTGACATCTTTGGCGCACTCGTGGACCGGCTGAAGGATCCAGAAGCCAAGGACGGGCAACAAGAGACTGGCTTCATGACATCATAGATCGTTCTCTCGATGTTTTTCCCCAAGTAACCTGGCAACGCTAAGGTTGCTAAGGGATTCTAACGTGAAGAGTAAAGAGGGTTAGGTTGCGATAGTTGTTCAACGCCCGGGCGTGCAGCTCTCACCCACAGGTGGGCTTTGACTACGGGATTCCAGGGTGGCTGTTTACGTATAAACACCCACTTGGGTGGCTCCGTGTTGCGAAAACATGGGACGTACGCTCCTGTTTTTTTTGGGGGGTGTTGGATGGGTTCGCTTCGTGCGTCCCTTATAAGGGGATCTGCGTGCTCGACACGGAAGTGCATAACTAGCACTTTCGTGGCCGGGCATCATTTCTGAAGTCACAGTCCCGTGAGCACGCCGCGCGTCTCGAAGCGTGGCATTTGGCTTCGCGATGGTACTTTCGCCGGCGTCCCGTGCGCATTCCGTGCTCGAAATTGCACTCACTCGTTGTAGGTGGACATTTCGCTCTCGCAGGCGCCGGTATGGCCGTGGGTTTTGGGGGTCGCGCTTTTCATCGTGGGGTTTGGTTTGTCCGGCGTGAGAACTGCCTGTGAAAAAGGGAGAGCCATTCATCTTGGCATGAAGGAGTTCTTGCAATCCCGCATCACGTTCGAGGATGTGATTGCCAACACCCTGTCCGACTGGCTCACATGGGTTGCATTGGTCTCCGCTGTCAGTGCGGCAGTTGTAGCCATTCGTCTGGAAATTCTGGCAGCCAAGTGGATGCAGAAGCGACAAAGCGCACAGCTGGGTGCGCCAACGGAGGAGGCTGCGCAGGACCCCTTCGAGGACGGTGCCAAGCAGCTGGTGAGCCTAGCCTTTGCGAAGAACGCGTGGCTCCTCAGGCTGTGGAGGTGGCTCGAAGTCTTAGTGGCCGTTTTGTGGCTGGGGTTCGCGAACTTGCTGGTTCGCTGGATCTGGTGGCTGCCGGTGGTCCTCCTCTGCTACGTCGGCCCGGCAGCCAGGCACTACGGAGTCGGGAGTCTGCTCCAAGCCCCCGCGAAGGCCATCATGACCAGGGACACAGCCTCGCAGGCCCAACTTTGCTCGCTCAGCTCCTGTGGTTTTGTCACGTATGAGAACTTCTGAACAAGGGGAACGTGTTACGAAGAAGAGACACACGACTTCACTTCCGAAGATTCAGTTTATAGCCACCTCGGCGACATGCTCTTCAAAGGTTTCGGGCAATCCGGTTCCCCTTCGAAACGCCCATGTAGGCCGTTCATAGTGGATCACTGAAGAGGCTCGCGTAAGGCATTCCGGTACCGTCATTCATGTCGATTCTAGCAGGGTTTTTGATGGCGGAAATGGGCCTTTATGGAGGCTTTCCTCCTCCTTGTAGGCGGGTCAGTGAAAGCGCCACTTTGGAGGGCTGGGCCGGGCCCTGAAAGACAAGGCCAGGCGAAACTTTTTTCTGGGAGGAATTTCTGGGATTTCCGGGGGGCAACTGGCCGAGTTGCTTATCAGGATCAACAGCAAGTGAGGCTCAATGAGGCAGACGCCACGCGCAGCAAGTTCGTTTTTTTCAAACGGGGTTTGGGGCTTAGGGCTCGTGGTTTGGGGATGTTTGGGGTTAGGGTTCGTGTTTTGGTGTTTTGGGTTTGGGTTTGTTGTGGTGTAGATTTCAGGTTTTATGGTTTCGAATGTAGGCTTTGGGTTTAGATTTGAGGGTGTAAGTAATCACCACCAGGGCATCAACAGCCACCACGTCGCGATGAAGCCAACCCCCAACTTCAAACCCTAAACCCCTCTGTCCTGCAAGCACTTGAACCCTTAAGCCCTATCCCTTGTCGTTAAGCTTACATAAGCCCTAAACCTGAAGCATGAAGCCTGTCAGGCTTTGTCGGCTTAGCACGGTTTTAGACCACACTGGCACCCACATTTCCAAGACCAGTGAGCGACTAGAAATTACGGTTTCCCGAAGCCACTGTCCAGGTGGCCGGCTTCCTGCGCACTCTGATCTTGACGTGTCTTTGTGGCGGAGTATACTTCTCGGCATTTGGCGACGCGTACTTGTTTTCCATACATTCCACGGTGGGCGCCTCCGATTCCATGCTGCTGAATCCTGCCCTTGTGGACTGGTCGCAGCAAAAGTTCAATGCGTGGGATGGCAGATGGCTGCGTCAGCACTGGCTGTTCCAGTGGGCCCCTGAAGGTGTTTCAGCAATTGGTCTTTTTGATCTGGCTCGGCACTCGTATTTGGGCCTTCTGGGCTTCTACTTGCTCTGTCTGCTCTGCGCAGTCCTGTGCTCCTGCGTGCCCAGCTTGCGAGCGCGGATTCGAAAGCGCAGAGTTCCTGAGGACGTGAAGCGCTGGGCCGTAAAAGAGTTGCTTCGGAGCACTCGCCCCCAAGATTTCTGCACGGTGCACAAGAGTCTCAGGCCGGTGGTCGGTTTCTCGTGGCCTTGGCGGGCCGGGCTGTGGCAGGGCTTGGCCTTGCTGGTGCTGGATGTTGGGCTTGACATCAACACCATCTTCACCTTGCTGGTCACGAAGCACCACCTCTTCGCTGCGGTGATGAGCTTCCTGGTGGCTCGCAGTGTGCTGAAGCAGCTGTCTGCCCTCCCTCCTTGGCGTCTCCGCGAGGCCTGCAGGAATGGAGCCTGCTTCCCGGAGAACCGTTGAGTTGTCTTCCACAATCTTGAGAAAGCACCGAGTCAGAGACACAGATCTAGAGGTCGTAGTCAGGTATACAACACTTTCAAGACGTGTCGAGCCAAGCTTTCCATCCCTGAGTCTCCCTGCGTCACGCGCACATGACGCACAGGCGATCAAGGACTCCTTGCGCACAGGCCTCATGCGGAAGGACCTCTTGGACTTCATCGAGGTGGCTTGGACTCAGCTCGGGTCGTATCCCAAAACCACATCCTACAGAGCATCTCTTCAGTGCCCATATCCTAGATGATCCTTACAGCGCCCTCATAGGATGTGGATGTTCAAAGTAAAGGGCCTGCTTCGGCGTTTGACAGGGACTTTTTTGACTTGAGTCTTCGTGTTGTAGCTTGGAACCATGGCAAGCGAAGCTTCTTCTGGCAAGTGCCGCAGCCGCTGTTGAGGAGGAGCAACGCTCGGAGGCATTTTTCTGCGGGTGCATCACCGCCTACTCGCTTCTCTACTCAGCCCAGACGGCTGATCAACTGCTTGTGCAGTTCTTGAGCGTCCTCCTGAGCACGTGGCTTTTTGCAGGCGGGATGCACATATATACCGGTGCGTCAGCTTGAGGCGCACTTTTTTCGTGGCCTGTGGAGTTTTGACAAGTTTGCAGGCTATGCTGTGCGAATTTGTGACCTGGAGTTCAAGCTTGCGCCCGATGACATCCCTGCCAGTGAAAAAGCACCCAAAGCCGACACCGTGGGCGTCCGCATCGATGCAATCGAAGAGGACCTTAAAGTTCTCCATTGCGTTACTTTCCTTGGTTAGCCTAGGGTTCTCCATGTTGGTGGAGAATGGCTTCCTACACTAGGTTTTCAAACCATGTTTCCAGCAGGAGCAGAGCCAGGCCGTGCAAAAACAAACGGTTGTCTTGTCACAAGGCTTGTGGTTCATATTGCAATGTATGTACGATCTTGCACATGGGTATGTTCGGATGTCGGAGTCGCTTTCTACGCAAGGACTCCGCAGCACCGCAGCACGCTCGGGCCAAAGACGCTCCTTCCGAGAATTTGCATGAGGAGACCAGAGAGCGCTCGGAGCAGGGGAGTTTTGAGGGCTTTATTGAAGATAATAGCGGAGGCAGACCGTGGGACCCGACGGAGTCTTCCCACCAGTGTCAAACCACGTTTGTTCAAACCCATGCGTTGTACTCACAAAGGTCTGGTACGACTTTATAGAGATGACAGAGATATTGTGAGATGTATATAAATATCTATTATCCATCTACCTATCCATCTACCTAATACATTAATCTATCTACACATGGTAAAGTTGAGTTTGAGTGTAGAGAACATCGCCAAAGGTTGTCGCGCCCTCATGCGTGGACACGCAGAGATCCCACCGAAATTCCCGGCAATGACTGACGGTCTAAGTACGAGGACTCGCAGTCCCCCTGCGATTTCCGTGTCCAGTTACCAGCATGCGCTGACCACAGCATCCATGCCCGCACCATGAGCTAGCAGAAGCAGTGTTGCATAGGCTTGCCAGCTGAGCAGCGTCCCGAGCACAGAAGTACAGAGATCCAGCGGTGCAGCTCATGAGATCGCCCCATGCGATTGCTTCCTTCGGCTACGTCCGGAGTGAGAAACCGACTCGAACAGCATTCGCGTTTCCCTGTAGTGCCCAACCCTAGATGCTCCTGCAGAGTACCGAAGGAGGAAGGGCAACCTATTTCTAGTGTAGCAGGGGCAGACATTAGAAAAGCTGATTGCATCTACCAGTTCCTGATCATGATCAAAGCCCTCAGAAGCCCAGAGTGCCAGCGCACGCGCCCGAAAGCGTGCGACACGACATGGCCGCATGAGTTTCTTTCACGCCCGATGTTCACTGACAAGGCGAGCGACGGCAAGCGAGAAAGGCCGTGCGCAAAAGTGCAAGTATCTCCGAAGAGTAATTGAAGTGTAGTACAGTACAATCCGGACCAGGATGCTCATTCCATGTTGGGGATAGATGTTCCCGTCTCAGGAAGCGCCTAAAGCTTCGCACCTTGGAACGGCCCCTGAGTCATACACCTTCGAGTCTTTAATATAAGACGGCAGCCGGGTCCATGAGAGGAGCTTCCCGGAGCCCCGGAGCCGAACCTCATGGGCTCAGAATCCGTGCCTGGGCCAACCAGAACAACAAGGTGAATGTTGGAAGGCGTCATATGAGTCATATGTTCAGAGTGGTCCAACCACAACGTGCACTTAAGGTAGAGGAGCCTCCGGCCATCTCCACGGACATGTTGGACGTTGGGATTTTGGTGATTGACAGCGCCGAAGCCGTCGACACAAAGGCGCGTACGTGGGCCCGAAGAGCATCCCCCGACCTCCCAGAATCGTTTTGTCTTGCTGTCGCGTGGCACCTCCCTTCGCAACCTGAGAAATACATCTGTGTAGACGTGTACATGCCGTTGCAGACAGCTGGCACTTCTTGACGTTGTGTCCTCATTGTCCCTTCTTGGAGGAGGAAGCATGGCAAGGTGCGCCTTGTTCGCCAGGACCTTCAAATGAGGCCGGGGTGCTGTGATGCTGTGTGATCTCGCAGGCTGGGGTTGTTGGGAGAGGCGAGGTTTCTTATCCCATTCGGAGACTGCTGTGATGGTTGATGGTGTGGCGTGCGGCAGTGAGAAAGAAACTCCTCCTGAGGTCTGCGTCTCTGAAGTTGCCATTGACCATCGCGGAGGACCGTCCTGCTCCTGCATGGAGCAGCGAGGAGAGCTCGAATCCTGTCGACCTTGAGTCGAAGTTGCCTCCAGCCAAGAAGGGCAAAGCTAAGGGTTTGAAGAAGAATGGGGGGCAGAGCACCCGGAAATCCAGGGCCAAGCCCTCCGGGGTCTCCACCGGTGCTGCTTGAGCACCTGCAAGGGCTTAGCCCAAACACCCCAACAGCCTCAGAGCCTCCACGCCTTAAGCATCTCACTTGGTAAGACCCCATGGCTCCATACTGAGCCCTTGCAGCCCCCCATGCACACAAGCTCCGGCAAGGGGCATGCGTGACAATGTCACGTTGTTTCCTGGTGCAGAACGTGCGCCGGGCGAACTCTTTGAGCCGCATGAGGCGAACTCTTTGTTAACCAATTTTTCAGGTGAGCCTACGGCAATCAAAGACATGGCCGATGTCTCATGCAAGTATATCGTACAATGTGTTCAGGACAGTACACTTTATTCGAGAAAAAACATGCGCAAAAAACACAACGTGCTGTATGTACTGTAGCGTGGCGGTTGCAATTGGCCCACCGGCTTGGGTGCTCTGGCACTCTAGCTTCTGTTGTGAGAATTCTGGCGCGAGGATGCCGAAACAACGTGTCGGGGCTCGATCTCAGCTCTTGCCATGTTTTCCTGCGACCCAAAACGACTGCAGAGTTTGCAATGTCCACTGCTTCATGCCCAGAAAACAGCCGACGATCCCTAAAACAGGCCTAAAAGCACCCCAATCTTCCACACCGAGGCAGGCTTGTGACCAGCGCGTTGGATTGCGAAGCACGGGGCCGAGCCTTGCAGGGTTTAGGGTTTAGGGTTTAGGGTTTAGGGTTTAGGGTTTAGGGTTTAGGGTTTAGGGTTTAGGGTTTAGGGTTTAGGGTTTAGGGATTGGCGTTTAGGGTTTAGGGTTTAGGGTTCAGAGTTTAGGGTTGTCCGGACCTTCAGGGCAAGCTTGAAAGGGTAAACCCTAAACCCTAAACCCTAAACCCTAAACCCTTAACCCTAAACCCTAAACCCTATAGACCCTAAACCCTCCCATCTGACCCTACAAAGCTCTTGGAAGCCTTCTCAACTCATCCCAAGCGTGAGGCCGCCTCCGCCGGAAGCTGGGGGGGACCCATGCAACTCGAAGAGGCTTGGGATGTGTGCGTGTGCGTGCGTGTGTGTTTGTGTGTGGGTGTGGGGCAGTGGGAGGGTGAATTTCGGGCCGGGATGCCCAAGAACCGGACTCCCTTTTTGCATGCTGTGTGTTCCCAAACAGGGATAAAGAGGATGTGGAGTGTCTTCTACCTGTTTAGAATAGGGGGCGGGGGGGGATTTCGGGACCTGCCTTATCGTTGGGTTCGGCTTGAACCCATCATTTTGTCCTGACAGGTTTATAGAGATGATTCAGAGATTTGAGGGGGGTTGTAAGCTTCGACACTGGATCTCCACGCATAGACTAGGCTAAGCTTTGAGCTTTCGGGGACCTCGCCTTGCACGTAGCGGTGTAGCGACCTCCCAGAGTTTCGGAATGGAGGCAGACCGCTTCATGAAGCTTTCGCGCCCGCAGAAGGCCTTCCACAAACCGCGAAATCTCAGGAGACGAGCCAGTGGTTCCGAGAGGGTTGGGTGCGTGCACGTCCCATGCTGCATGGAGGAGGCATTGCCCCGCATGATTTTTGCTGGGCAGTCTCAATGCCGGAGCTCCCCCCCCCCTCAGCCCACGTAAACGCCCATTCTCCGAAACGCCCAACTCCGACGAAGCCCCAAATGCAGCCCTAAACAGACCTGAGCTCCTCAACTCGCTAAACTCCCTAAGTAAATGCTTTACAAGGTTGCTTTGAACGAACACACACACACACACACACACACCCTATAAACCCCATATAACCCTTCATCAGCCCGCCTTTCGCAAGCAGAAACGCCTGCAACTCCAGGTCCGCCGCTTGTGCGCGACTGCGCCTTGCTCGCAGGCTCACGGGTCCTTTCAAGAAGTGTGCAAGGGTTGAGGATTTTTACAGGGAGGGTTTAAATTCAAGGGTGTACGGGTTTGGGGTACTTGGAGCTCTTATAAGCTGGCGACTACAGTAAGCCTGCGTTTAACCCTACTACGTCTTATACCCATGATTCTCCAAGTATCAGGAGCCCGCGTCACCGAAGTCGCGAACTTTCTTGTACATTTTGTGGCATCTGGTGTTGAGTGTCGGGTTTACTTGTGCCGGCATCTGCTGAACATTGCATTAGGTCCCACGACCCAGAACCCCAAGCTCCCAAAATCCTGCACCGTGGACTTAGGAAACCCCCCTACAACCCCGAAGCCCGCCATCCCCAACGGAAGACAACAGGGCCGCCCGCTCTGGCGATCTGCAAACGCCTTGCCGAAGTCGAGTCGGGGCCTCTGAACGTTTTTCCTGCTGTAACCTTATCGGGGTTTGGGAGAGGGCCTATAGGGTCTCCAGCCTTCTCCCAGGTGTTAATAAGCTTGAAGGGCTCAGTGGGAATGAGGCCTTCGGGCTCGGATCTTGGGGGGGTTTGAGCTCTTTTCTTCGGGTGGCACTGTTTTTCAAGGCAGAGGGTGGCAAATGGCTAAGGATCTTGTAGGGGTGGATTTCCTCCACGCTGAAGGCTTTGGAGTTTCCTGGGCTCAGGCTTTTGTAGGCATGGCTATGTCTGTTTGGGTCCGTCTGCACGCGTTGTCGGTTTTGGGGCGGGAGGGGGGAGGGGGGGGGGGGCAGGTTTCGAGTTTTCTTGTTGGGGTTTCGGGGCGGACGCGATGAACATTTTTGCTAAGTGTCTGCAGGGTTGTTCGGTGTAAGGGCGGGTCAGGTGGACGCCTTTCAGCGAGGCTTGTGTCGGGTCAGAAGGTGGGTTACAATCTTGTTTTCACCCAGCGCTTGGGGGCATCGGGCAGCGAACTTGGGACTACATGAACCCGAGGGATTCTTGGTTTAGGGCTCCCGGTTCGAGGATTCATGTGGCCAAGGTTGTGAAAGGGATAGCACACAAACCCTAAACCCTAAACCCCAAACCCCAAACCCTAAACCCCAAACCCTAAACCCCTAAACCCTTAAACCCCTAAACCCCTAAACCCCTAAACCCCTAAACCCCTAAACCCCTAAACCCCTAAACCCCTAAACCCCTAAACCCTAAACCCTAAACCCTAAACCCTAAACCCTAAACCCTTCGCTTCCACCTCCGAGGAATCTCGTGGAATGGAACGCCCTTGGCCTTGGCAGCTCGACAAGGCTCCGGCTTCCTTGGCTTTTGGGGCTTTGGGGGCTTTTAGGGCTTAGGGTTTAGGGTTTACGGTTTAGGGTTTGGGGCTCTTTTAGGGCTTTGGGGGGGGCTTCAGGATTTTGGTGCTTTTAGGGTTTACGGTTTAGGGTTTGGGGCTCTTTTAGGGACTGAAAGGGGCTGTTTAAGGGCTTTAAGGGGCTTTGAGGGCTTTGGGGGGCTTCCGGCTTCAGGATTTTGGTGCTTTTAGGGTTTGGGGGGTAGGGGGGGAGAGTGGAGTGGAAGGGGGCAGGGGCAACTGCCTGCTCAATACCGGACTCCCATTTCCGCAGGGGCGACGTTTTGGGTTTATATAGGGTTTGGGGTTCATGGTGTAGTGATTGTTTCTCCAGCAAAATGATGCACGACGCTTCAGACCCCAAGCCCTATAAAATCACCCTAAAAAACGCTAAACACTGGAACACTGGAACCCCTCCAACCCCGTTCCCTAGAGCCTGAACCCCAAAACCTAAACCCCAAACCCACTTCCGAGGAACCGCGGTGAATGGAAGGCCCTTTGGCCTTGGCAGCTCGACAAGGCCCTGGGCTTGGCCCCTAGTTCTTGTGGGGCTTTGGGGGGCCTTCCGGGTCTTGAAAGGGGCTTTATGAGCTTGCAGGCTTTCAGGGCTTTAAGGGTTTTGAAGGCTTTAAGGGATCTGGGTTTTGGGGGGCTTCCGGCTTTTTAGGATTTGGCAGGGTTTGGGGACGTTGGAGGGTCGGGCTTGCTCAATGCCGGACTCCCATCTCCACCAGGGGGGGGGGGGGGGGGGGGGCGTTTTGGGTTTAGGGTTTTCCCGAACTCCTCAACTCGCTGAACTGCGTAAGCGCTTACAACACTGCCAAAAGCCCTATAAAAATCCTGTAAGCCCTCTACGCCCTAAACCCTAACCCTTCCCCCGCTCCCCATCCGTTCAACTCCAGGTCCGGCCCCTTGCGCTCACCTGGGGGTGAGCCCGAAGGCGCCTTGCTTGAGGCTCATTGGGTACTTTCAAGTAGGGTTTCAGGGTTTAGGGTATAGGGTAGAGGGTTTAGGGTAGAGGGTTTAGGGAGGGTTCAAGGGTTTAGGATCCCTAGAGGCTTCGGGTACTTCGAGAGTAGGGCCAGAAGTCGGGTCAGAAGAAATAGAGGTCTAGTAAGCCTGGCACATCCCCAACAGACGCCACTCTTGCGATCCGCAAACGCTCCTCCCCCCGAAGCCGAGCCGGGGCCTCTGAACATGCTCCTAGAACCTCATCGGGGTTTGGGGGAGGGCCTAAAGGGGTCTCCAGCCTTCTGACTCCAGCTTATAAGCTGAAGTTCAAAGTGCTAGGCCTTCGGGCTCGGATCTTGGGGGGCTTTAGCTCTTTTTGCGGGTGGCACCGTTTTTGAGGGGGTGAACAGGGCAGAGGGTGGGCAAAGGATCTTGTAGGGGTGGATTTCCTCCGCGCTGAAGGCTTTGGAGTTTCCTGGGCTCAGGGGTAGCCGTCTCGCCGTCTCTCCACACCGAATTGCCCGAACATGAGGGTCCAGGGTTTAGGGTTTAGGGTTTATAGGGTTTTTAGGGTTTGGGGTTTAGGGTTTAGGGTTTGGGGTTTCCGAAGCGCCCCCACAGGCCCAACAATGTGATTGTTCGGCGTTAGGGCTGTTCGTATCTAAAGGCGTGCTTTGCAGCATTGAAGGCATGAACATGGCAGCAGGCACAAGTCCTCAAAAAGCCAGGACTGAAGGTTCAGGGTCGAGGGCGTCAAGGCTGTGCATTTTTTTGAATGTTGTCGGGCAGTTCTTTAGCCCTAAACCCCAAACCCTAAACCCCGAAATTTGTTTTGCTCCCAGGCTGGATGCCTAGCACAGCGCAAACCCTAAACCCTAGCCCTAAACTTCAAACCCTAAACCCTAAACCCCCGAAAATCTTTCCGCTCCAGTGGCAGGATGCCCAGCACAGCGCTGCCATGGGGCGCCTGCCCAGGCCATCTGGGTTGAGAAAGCGTTTCTGGTCTTCGAAGACGCCGTGACCTTTTTTTGAAGGTTGTAGGGTCTCAGATCTGGCGCTCGTTCAGTGTTGGGACTCCAGGATATGGTTATGCCAACGCATTTGTTGGAGGTCAGGTTGCCGCTTTGCGGGCACAGCGTTAGTTCGCTGAAGTACGCCCCCCCCCCCCCCCCCGCTGTCAGCCGCAAACCTTGAAACTTACAATCCTTTGAAATCCCTTAAGCCCTCTCCAGATCGAAGCCTGCGGAATTTTCCTTCTGCTGTTGATAATCTTTGTTCTGCCCACGAGGAACTTGACTTGAAGATACATCAAAGGTGTTCCTTTGTGCAGCTTGTCACTCATCAAACTTGCGATTTTTCGTTGTTTCTTTCGATCCTCGCAATCAAAATCTTCTCATGAAAGTCCTTTGTCTTCCAGTTCGGAGCAGCTTCATTGGGGCTAAGATTAGGGCGGTTCAGCGTTGAGTTTGAGTGCTTCTCAGAAGCCTCGTGCGGGTGTTGTGCGGCATATTTGGGGTTTGGGACGGGGCTGCGGGTTAGGGCAGCAAGGTTTAGAGTTGTGCGCAAGTCTCAAGCTCGACGTGAATCGCTGAGTGTTTTTTTGTAAAGTGTGTGTGGTTTTTTTTTCTGGTTGTTGATTCTGGGCGTTCCAGCTTTTGGTTTAGGATTGCGGTGTTCATGAGGGCTTGGGCTTAGAGCGGCAAGCTTTCTTATTGTTGTTGTTGTTTCGGTTGTAGGGCTTCGACATAAGGTTGATTGGGCTTATCAAACCTCAACCCTCAACCCTAAACCCCAAACCCCAAACCCCAAACCCTAAACCCGAAACCTACAGGGGGGGGGAGGTGTTCAGGGTTTAGGGCGCCTTTCTTGTGGGTTAAGGAGGGTTTGGGTTTGTAGTCAAGAGTCCAGAGAGGCTTTTGCGGATGAGCTCTCATAGCTCAAGCTGGGGCCCTCTCAGTGATGGGAGATCCTGGTGCAACCCCGGCAACCCCTTCGCAAGGCACCAGGCCCCCTTCGCTAAATGAGATCCTGAAGCCGATTAAACCCTCCCCTGCACGTGGGTGGCTGTCAAAATTATGGTCCCCTTTTTGGATCCCGACTATAATACGGCACCTAATATTTAGGGTACCCCAAAAGGGATGACTTTGACCGCCACCCATGTAAACCCTGAGCCCAACGAAACCGTAAAGGTCACGAACCTTCGGCGCGCCCCGGGTCCTTCAGCCCTTTCCAAAGCCTCCTATTCCGCGAGAGCCTGAGACGAGTCCTGCGACCCCAGACCCTTGAAATCCCAAGGGGCTCAAACCCTCAACGCTTCAAATTCAGCTTCAGGCTCAAGGGTCCAGGGTCCAGGGTTTAGGGTTTAGGGTTTAGGGTCAAGGGTTTAGGGTTTAGGGTTTAGGGTTTAGGGTTTAGGGTTTAGGGTTTAGGGTTTAGGGTTTAGGGTTTAGGGTTTGGTCATGGCGAGGTCGTGGCAGTCATGGCGGCGAGGTCGCGATGCCTCAACACGGCCCCTCCCTCGGCTCGGTCAGGTTTGAAGCAGCTTTCGGGGTTTCGCCTTGCACCCTAACCCCTGAACCCTACAAACCCTCTACACCCTCTAAACCCTCTAAACCCTATAAGCCCTAAGCCCCTAAACCCGAAACCCTCTAAAACCTACAAACCCTCTGAAACAACCCTAAACCCTGAACCTTCTAAACCCTCTAAACCCCACTAACCCTCTAAACCCCTGAGCCCTCTGAACCCTCTAAACCCCCTAAACCCATAAACCCCCTAAACCCTCTAAACCCCTAAACCCCCTAAACCCTAAACCTTCTACACCTCCTAAACCCCTAAACCCTCTATAAACCCTTTAAACCCTATAAACCCTAAACCTGCTGAACCCCTAAACCCTAAACCTTCTAAACCCCTAAACCCTCTTCGTACGGTTCTTGTGGGTTACGGATTGGGGGTTGGGGTTTCACATTCGGAGTTTACAGCTTTCGGTTTAGGATTGGGGGCTTCATTGGGGGAGTAGTTTAAGGCTTGAGGGTTTAGGGCGGCAGGGTTTGTTTGTTTTGTCGATTCGGCGGTAGGGCTTAGGATGATGTGAACGTTTATAGGGTTTGGGGCCTGAGGATTCACAAGAGCGCGCATCACCGAAGTCTCGAACGTTCCTGTACATGTTCTTGCATCTGGCGTCGGGTCGATTATTGTGTCGGTCCTCGACGGCAGGCAATTGCTGAACGGCCCAACGTCTTCGTGAAAAAATCTGCAATCCTTGAAAGGGGTGCTTCTGGGGGCCTTGGGGTCTTGGTGGTCTTGGGTTCTGTAGCGTCCCCTACAAAACATGCAGGTTTCCCAGAGGGGGATTCTTGCAAGGCCGGATGTGCCCCCGGACCTTCAGGGCAAGCTTGAAAGGGTAAACCCTAAACCCTAAACCCTAAACCCTAAACCCTAAACCCTAAACCCTAAACCCTAAACCCTAAACCCTAAACCCTATAGACCCTAAACCCTCCCATCTGACCCTACAAAGCTCTTGGAAGCCTTCTCAACTCATCCCAAGCGTGAGGCCGCCTCCGCCGGAAGCTGGGGGGGACCCATGCAACTCGAAGAGGCTTGGGACGTGTGCGTGTGCGTGCGTGTCTGTGTGTGGGTGTGGGGCAGTGGGAGGGTGAATTTCGGGCCGGGATGCCCAAGAACCGGACTCCCTTTTTGCATGCTGTGTGTTCCAAACAGGGATAAAGAGGATGTGGAGTGTCTTCTACCTGTTCAGAATAGGGGGGGGGATTTCGGGACCTGCCTTATCGTTGGGTTCGGCTTGAACCCATCATTTTGTCCTGACAGGTTTATAGAGATGATTCAGAGATTTGAGGGGGGTTGTAAGCTTCGACACTGGATCTCCACGCATAGACTAGGCTAAGCTTTGAGCTTTCGGGGACCTCGCCTTGCACGTAGCGGTGTAGCGACCTCCCAGAGTTTCGGAATGGAGGCAGACCGCTTCATGAAGCTTACAAGCGCCCGCAGAAGGCCTTCCACAAACCGCAAAATCTCAGGAGACGAGCCAGGGGTTCCGGGTTTAGAGAGCGGTTGGGCGCGCGCACGTCCCATGCTGCATGGAGGAGGCATTGCCCCGCATGAGTTTTGCTGGGCAGTCTCAATGCCGGAGCTCCCCCCCCCCTCAGCCCACGTAAACGCCCATTCTCCGAAACGCCCAACTCCGACGAAGCCCCAAGTGCAGCCCTAAACAGACCTGAGCTCTTCAACTCGCTATACTCCCTCAGTAAATGCTTTACAAGGTTGCTTTGAACGAACACACACACACACCCTATAAACCCCAAATAAACCCTTCATCAGCCCTCCTTTCGGAAGCAGAAACGCGTGCAACTCCAGGTCCGCCGCTTGTGTGCGACTCCGCCTTGCTCGGAGGCCCACGGGTCCTTTCGAGAGAAGTGTGCAAGGGTTCAGGATTTAGAGGGAGGGGTTACATTCAAGGGTGTACGGGTTTGGGGTACGCGGAGTTCTTACAAGCAGGGCGACTACAGTTAGCCTGCGTTGAGCCCTACTGAGTCTTAGACTTGCCCATGATTCTCCAAGTATCAGGAGCCCGCGTCACCGAAGTCGCGAACTTTCTTGTACGTGTTGCATCTAGTGTTGATTGTCGGGTTTATTTGTGCCGGCATCTGCTGAACATTGCATGAGGTCCCACGACCCAGAACCCTAAGCTCCCAAACTCCTGCACCGTGGACCTAGGAAACCGCCCTACAACCACGAAGACCGCCATCCCCAACGGAAGACGACAGGGCTGCCGCTCTGGTGATCTGCAAACGCCCGCCCCGAAGTCGAGTCGGGGCCTCTGAACGTCTTTCCTGCTGTAACCTTATCGGGGTTTGGGGGAGGCCCTATAGGGCCTCCATCCTTCTGACTCCCAGGTGTTTCTAAGCTTGAAGGGCTCAGTGGGAATGAGGCCTTCGGGCTGGGATCTTGGGTGGGGGTTTTAGCTCTTTTCTTCGGGTGTCATCGTTTTTGAGGGTGTCACTGTTTTTGAGGGGGTGGACAAGGCAGAGGGTGGCATGGCTAAGGATCTTGTAGGGGTGGATTTCCTCCGTGCTGAAGGCTTTAGAGTTTCCTGGGCTCAGGCTTCTGTAAGCGTGCTATGTCTGTTTGGGTCCATCTGCACGTGTTGTCGGTTTTCGGGGGGGGGGGGGGGGGGGGGGGGCAGGTTTCGAGTTTTCTTGTTGGGGTTTCGGGGCGGACGCGATGAACGTTTTTGCTAGGTGTCTGCAGGGTTGTTCGGTGTAAGGGCGGGTCAGGTGGACGCCTTTCAGCGAGGCTTGTGTCGGGTCAGAAGGTGGGTTACAATCTTGTTTTCACTCCCAGCGCTTGGGGGCATCGGGCAGCGAACTTAGGACTACATGAACCCGAACGATAGTTGGTTTAGGGCTCCCGGTTCGAGGATTCATTGGCCAAGGTTGTGAAAGGGATAGCACACATCAGCTTGCCCAACGATGTCAACCCTACACCTTATTTCCTAACCCTAGTTACTCCCTAAACCCCAAACCCGAAACACTAAACCCTAAACCCCTAACCCTAAGCCCCAAACCCTTCACTTCCACCTCCGAGGAACCTCGTGGAATGGAACGCCCTTGGCCTTGGCTGCTCGACAAAGCCCCGGCTTCCTTGGCTTTTGGGGCTTTGGGGGCTTTTAGGGCCGAAAGGGGCTGTTAAGGGCTTTCAGGGGCTTTCGAGGGGCTTTGAGGGTTTGGGAGAGTGGAGTGGAGTGTGGCGGGGGCAACTGGTAAGTACCGGACTCCCATTTCACAGGGGCCACGTTTTGGGTTTAGGGTTTGGGGTTCATGGTGTAGTGATTGTTTTTCCAGCGAAATGATGCACGACGCTTCAGACCCCAAGCCCTATAAAGTCACCCTGAAAACGCTCAGCGCTGGAACACTGGAACCCCTCCAGCCCCGTTCCCTAGAGCCTGAACCCCAAACCCTAAACCCCAAACCCCAAACCCTAAACCCTAAACCCTAAACCCTAAACCTTAAACCCTAACGAGGAACCGCGGTGAATGGAAGGCCCTTGGCCTTGGCAGCTCGACAAGGCCCTGGGCTTGACCCGTAGTTCTTGTGGGGCTTTGGGGGGGCCCTGCCGGGTCTGAAAGGGGCTTTATGAGCTTGAAGGCCTTCAGGGCTTGAATGTTGAGGGCTTTAAGGGCTGGTTTTGGGGGGGCTTCCGGCTTTTTAGGATTTGGCAGGGTTTGGGGGGGGGGGGGGGGGTGGGGGGGTGTGGGGGGGGAGGTGCGGGGGGTGGAGTGGGGCGGAGAGGGGGCGGAATCCGCTTGCTCAATGCCGGACTCCCATCTCCGCCAGGAAGGGGGCGTTTTGGGTTTACGTAGGGTTTTCCCGAACTCCTCCTGGGAGGGGGCGAGCCCGAAGGCGCCTTGCTTGGGGCTTCATTGGCCATATTCAAGTAGGGTTTCAGGGTTTAGGGTTGAGGGTAGAGGGTTTAGGGAGGGTTCAAGGGTTTAGGATCCTTACAGTAGAGGCTTCGGGTACTTCGGGAGTAGGGCCATAAGTCGGGTCATAAGAAATAGAGCCCTAGTCCCCGAAGCCGAGGCGGGGCCTCTTGAACGTCTTTCCCGCTGGACCCTTAAATCGGGATTTGGGGGAGGGCCTACAGGGTCTCCAGCCTTCTGACTCCAGGGTGCTTAAGCTAAAGTTCAGAGTGCTAGGCCTTCGGGCTCCGATCTTGGGGGGTTTTAGCTCTTTTTGAACTTTGAGGGGCTCAACAGGGCAGAGTAGCATGGCTAAGGTTCTTGTAGGGGTGGACTTCCTCCGTGCTGTAGGCTTTGGAGTTTCCTGGGCTTAGGGGTAGCCGTCTCTCCACACCGAAGTGCCCGAAGATGCTGCATTTGCTGTCCGTGTTGTCGCTCTTCGGGGGGGGGGGGCAGGTTTCGAGTTTTTTGTTGGGGTTTCGGGGCGGACGTGATGAACGTTATGTTAGGTGTCTGCAGGGTTGTTCGGTGCTAGGGCGGGTCAGGTTGACGCTTTTCAGCGAGGCCTTTAACGGGTCAGAAGGTGAAAGACAATCTTGTTTTCACTCCCAGGGCTTGGGGGCATCGGGCAGCGAATTCGGGCTACATGAACCCGGGCGCCCGGTTAGAGGTTTCATGTGGCCAAGGTTGCACACATCAGCTTGCCAACCGATGTCAACCCTACACCTTATGTCCAAACCCTAAACCCGAATTACTCCCTCAACCCTAAACCCTAAACCCTATAAGCCCCAAACCCCAAACCCCAAACCCTTCCAGCTCCGAGGAAACTCGTGAATGGAACGCCCTGGGCGTTGGCAGCTCGGGTTTCCTTGGCTTTTGGGGCCCTTAACAGGGGGGGGTTTAGGTCCTCAAAGGGGCTCTTAAGAGCTTTAGGGTTTAGGGTTTAGGGTTTAGGGTTTGGGGATGTTGGTGCTTTTAGGCTTTGGCGGGTTGGGGCGGGGGTGGGGGGGGGGGAACGTTTTGGGTTTAGGGTTGGCGCTCTTTTACGACACAACCCCGTTCCCTAAAGCCTGAGCCCTCCCCCGAATCTCTCACATCCACCCAGGCCCACCAGGAGGTGGTCCGCCTGCTGCTCAAGGCGAGATGCGGGCAGTTTCCCTCCGGACTCCTCAGGAGCTTTAAGTAGGTTTCAGGCTTTAGGGGTTTAGGGTTCAGGTGTTTAGTTGTTTAGGGGTCATGGTTTGGGGCTTAGGGGTTTAGGGCATAGGGCTGCCACAAAAAGTGTCGGGGGCTCGAACTCAGCACTTGTCGAGGCATGTTTCCTGCGACTGCGAAAATGTGCAATGCCTACCGTTTCATGCCCTGACAATGGCCGGTGAGCCCTATGAAGCTGATCTTAAACCACTATCTTCCACTGAGGTAAGCTTGTGGTGGGGTGGGGGGGGGGGGGGAACTGGTAGTCGAGCAGACCAGCAGGCGTGGCGGAAAGCTCAGCCCGGCGGGTCCAGGGCTCCGGGTTTGGAGGTCTTTGGGCTGGGGTGAGGCAATTTTGGGTTCATTCAATTTCAGGGGCTTTCGGAGTTTGGGGGGGTTTCCGGCGTTGATGAGGGCGCAAGGCTCGAAAGGGACTCCCCCTGCGCCCCGGAAGTCCCGAGCTTTCCCGAAAATGTCGCATCGGGGCTGTGCGTGATTGCGGCGTAGTGCGGCGTCGGGCTTTTGGGGCAGGCTTCCACGCCCCAAAGACTTCCAAATCATCCATATCTAAACAAACCAGAGCATGAACTCCGGCCGCCAACCTGAAGGAACTTAGCTTGCGGCCATCACCTGAAAATCCGAAAAACCTCGACTGGCCCTGGGCTGAATACGCTTCGCTTGGATCAGCGCGAGGCCGAGACGCGGAGCGCTCGCAGCACGAAATGTTCGGCTCCGACCTCGTCTTCGGGGTATTGTACGGGAGCACCTTGCCGCCGCAAGGCCCCCCAAGTCCCAGGCCCCATGGGACCTGTAAGACCTTCGGAATGGCACCCGCCTCGTGTCAAAGCCCTTCTGCTCGAGGCACTCTCGAGGCACGCCGGCCTTTTGCTGCGAACTGCGCAGCAGCACCACATTCAGACGTTATAATCATTATGTAAATTGTCTAGAGTCCGTAGGGTAGTAGAGTGTACCGGAAAGATGTATCGCTGGCCTGTGCTATGGCTCTGCAGCTTGGCCGCGTCAGCCGGGCCCAAGGACGAGCTCTTTGCAGCCGTGAGCGCCGGCGATGCACAAGCAGTTCAGAGGCTACGGGCTTTTGGTCTTGGCATAGTGGTGGCGGTGGGTTTTCGACTTGCGATAGACCGAATAGACGTTCTGGCTTATGGCTTGTTGTTGATCAGCCCAGGCCCCAAAAGCCCGAAACTCTTTAAATTCGCCCGGGCAGGCTTCTGGCCAGTGGCAGCTTCACTGGCGCCAACGACATGGTGTTCTTCGATGAGTATGGGGAGAAGTCCACTCTGCTGCATGAAGCCAGCTTGCAGGGAGATGTCGCTGTCGTGCGGTTACTACTCACTGCCTGGCCAGAGGGTGTGCAAGCCACGGACGGTTGGGACCAGGTGCCGTTGCACCTCGCTTGCAGCAGCGGCAGCATCGAGCTCGTGAAGCTTCTGTTAGACCAGTGGCCCGACGGACTCAAGCTTGCGGATTTGAACCACGTGACTCCTTTGCACAACGCAGCCTGGAATGGTAGCATGGAGCTTGTTCGGTTCCTCCTGCTGCAGTGGCCCGAGGGCCTCACGGTTGCGGACCGTTGGGGCGGTACACTTCTGCACGCTGCAGCCAGACATGGCAACACCGAGATCGTTCTTTTCGTTGCCCAGCAATGGCCTGATGGCCTCAAGCTTGCTGCAGCCGAAAGTAACAACACCGAGATCTCTCTTTTCCTTGCCCAGCAATGGCCTAATGGCCTCAAGGTTGCTAACGTCTGGGGCCAGACTCCTTTGCACATAGCAGCCAGTCATGGCAACATCGAGATCGTTCGTTTCCTTGCCCAGCAATGGCCCGACGGCCTCAAGCTTGCGGACGATGACGGCGAGACTCCTTTGCACATAGCAGCCAGGCGTGACTACACCGAGATTGTTCTTTTCCTTGCCCAGCAATGGCCTGATGGCCTCAAGCTTGCTGACGTCAGGGGCGGGACTCCTGTGCACATAGCAGCCAGTCATGACAACATCGAGATAGTTCGTTTCCTTGCCCAGCAATGGCCTGATTGCCTCAAGGTTACTAACGACTGGGGCGGGACTCCTGTGCACATAGCAGCCAGTCATGACAACATCGAGATAGTTCGTTTCCTTGCCCAGCAATGGCCCGACGGCCTCAAGCTTGGCAACATCGAGATAGTTCGTTTGCTTGCCCAGCAATGATGGCCTCGGCTGGACTCCTTTGCACATAGCAGCCACAGGTCGCCTCGTTCAGGTCATCCAACTCCTCCTGACGCAATGGCCCGATGAAGCAAGTGCTGCTGACACAGACGGCTTGAAAGTTGAATTGGAATGCCGCTTCCTGGTCGACACAGTTTGCAATCTCAACCTGGCCGAAGTCCAAGCCTGGAAGGAGGCTGCGGTGGACTTGCAGTGCTCAAAGCCGGAGGATTTGTCGAAGACGGATCTGCAACTCTGGCTTGACGGCTGTGGCGGGCGCCCCAGTTGGGCTGACATCTTTGGCGCACTCGTGGACCGGCTGAAGGATCCCGAAGCCAAGGACGGGCAACAAGAGACAGGCTTCATGACATCATGGATCGTTCTTTCGATCTTTTCTTCCCCAAGTAACCTGGCGACGCTAAGGTTGCTAAGGGGTTCTAACGTGAAGAGTAAAGAGGGCTAGGTTGCGATACTAGTAGTTGCTCAACGCCCGGGCGCGCAGCTTTCACCTACAGGTGGGCTTTGACTACAGGATTCCAGGGTGGCTGGTTACGTATAAACGCCCAAGATTGCACCCTTTTGAGGCTTGGGTGGCTCCGTGTTGCGAAAACATGGGACGTACGCTCCTGCTTGTTGGGGGTGTTGGATGGGTTCGCTTCGTGTGTCCTTACAAGGGGATCTGCGTGCTCGACACGGAGCTCTTTCCTTGCATGCTCCTCGTGAAGTGCATAACTAGCACATTCTTGGCCGGGCATCATTTCTGAAAGTCCCGTGAGCACGCCGCACGTCTCGAAGCGTGGCATTTGGCTTCGCGACGGTACTTTCTCCGGCGTCCCGTGCGCATTCCGTGCTCGAAATTGCACTCACTCGTTGTAGGTGGACATTTCGCTCTCGCAGGCGCCGGTCTGGCCGTGGGTTTTGGGGGTCGCGCCTTTCATCGTGGGGTTTGGTCTGTCCGGCGTGAGAACTGCCTGTGAAAAAGGGAGAGCCATTCATCTTGGCATGAAGGAGTTCTTGCAATCCCGCATCACGTTCGAGGATGTGATTGCCAACACCCTGTCCGACTGGCTCACATGGGTTGCATTGGTCTCCGCTGTCAGTGCGGCAGTTGTAGCCATTCGTCTGGAGATTCTGGCAGCCAAGTGGATGCAGAAGCGACAAAGCGCACGGCTGGGTGCGCCAGCGGAGGAGGCTGCGCAGGACCCCTTCGAGCAGGGTGCCAAGCAGCTGGTGAGCCTAGCCTTTGCGAAGAACACGTGGCTCCTCAGGCTGTGGAGGTGGCTCGAAGTCTTAGTTGCCATTTTGTGGCTGGGGTTCGCGAACTTGCTGGTTCGCTGGATCTGGTGGCTGCCGGTGGTCCTCCTCTGCTACGTCGGCCCGGCAGCCAGGCACTACGGAGTCGGGAGTCTGTTCCAAGCCCCCGCGAAGGCCATCATGACCAACGACACAGCCTCACAGGCCCAACTTTGCTCGCTCAGCTCCTGTGGTTTTGTACGGCACGTATGAGAACTTCTGAACAAGGGGAACGTGTTACGAAGAAGAGACACACGACTTCACTTCCGAAGATTCAGTTTATAGCCACCTCGGCGACATGCTCTTCAAAGGTTTCGGGCAATCCGGTTCCCCTTCGAAACGCCCATGTAGGCCGTTCATAGTGGATCACTGAAGAGGCTCGCGTAAGGCCTTCCGGTACCGTCATTCATGTCGATTCTAGCAGGGTTTTTGATGGCGGAAATGGGCCTTTATGGAGGCTTCGTTTCCTCCTCCTTGTAGGCAGGTCAGTGAAAGCGCCACTTTGGAGGGCTGGGCCGGGCCCTGAAAGACAAGGCCAGGCGAAACTTTTTTCTGGGAGGAATTTCTGGGATTTCCGGGGGGCAACTGGCCGAGTTGCTTATCAGGATCAACAGCAAGTGAGGGTCAATGAGGCAGACGCCACGCGCAGCAAGTTCGTTTTTTTCAAACGGGGTTTGGGGCTTAGGGCTCGTGGTTTGGGGATGTTTGGGGTTAGGATTCGTGTTTTGGTGTTTTGGGTTTGGGTTTGTTGTGGTGTAGATTTCAGGTTTTATGGTTTCGAATGTAGGCTTTGGGTTTAGATTTGAGGGTGTAAGTAATCACCGCCAGGGCATCAACAGCCACCACGTCGCGATGAAGCCAACCCCCAACTTCAAACCCTAAACCCCTCAGTCCTGCAAGCACTTGAACCCTTAAGCCCTATCCCTTGTCGTTAAGCTTACATAAGCCCTAAACCTGAAGCATGAAGCCTCTAAGGCTTTGTCGGCTTAGCACGGTTTGAGACCACAGTCGCACCCACATTTCGGTGACCAGTGAGCGACTAGAAATTACGGTTTCCCGAAGCCACTGTCCAGGTGGCCGGCTTCCTGCGCACTCTGATCTTGACGTGTCTTTGTGGCGGAGTATACTTCTCGGCATTTGGCGACGCGTACTTGTTTTCCATACATTCCACGGTGGGCGCCTCCGATTCCATGCTGCTGAATCCTGCCCTTGTGGAATGGTCGCAGCAAAAGTTCAATGCGTGGGATGGCAGATGGCTGCGTCAGCACTGGCTGTTCCAGTGGGCCCCTGAAGGTGTTTCAGCAATTGGTCTTTTTGATCTGGCTCGGCACTCGTATTTGGGCCTTCTGGGCTTCTACTTGCTCTGTCTGCTCAGCGCAGTCCTGAGCTCCTGCGTGCCCAGCTTGCGAGCGCGGATTCGAAAGCGCAGAGTTTCTGAGGATGTGAAGCGCTGGGCCGTAAAAGAGTTGCTTCAGAGCACTCGCCCCCAAGATTTCTGCACGGTGCACAAGAGTCTCAGGCCGGTGGTCGGTTTCTCGTGGCCTTGGCGGGCCGGGCTGTGGCAGGGCTTGGCCTTGCTGGTGCTGGATGTTGGGCTTGACATCAACACCATCTACACCTTGCTGGTCACGAAGCACCACCTCTTCGCTGCGGTGATCAGCTTCCTGGTGGCTCGCAGTGTGCTGAAGCAGCTGTCTGCCCTCCCTCCTTGGCGTCTCCGCGAGGCCTGCAGGAGAACCGTTGAGTTGTCTTCCACAATCTTGAGAAAGCACCGAGTCAGAGACACAGATCTGGAGGTCGTAGTCAGGTATACAACACTTTCAAGACGTGTCGAGCCAAGCTCTCCATCCCTGAGTCTCCCTGCGTCACACGCACATGATGCACAGGCGATCAAGGACTCCTTGCGCACAGGCCTCATGCGGAAGGACCTCTTGGACTTCATCGAGGTGGCTTGGACTCAGCTCGGGTCGTATCCCAAAACCACATCCTACAGAGCATCTCTACAGTGCCCATATCCTAGATGATCCTTACAGCGCCCTCATAGGACGTGGATGTTCAAAGTAAAGGGCCTGCTTCGGCGTTTGACAGGGATTTTTTCGACTTGAGTCTTCGTGTTGTGGCTTGGAACCATGGCAAGCGAAGCTTCTGGCAAGTGCCGCAGCCGCTGTTGAGGAGGAGCAACGCTCGGAGACATTTTTCTCCGGGTGCATCACCGCCTACTCGCTTCTCTACTCAGCCCAGACGGCTGATCAACTGCTTGTGCAGTTCTTGAGCCTCCTCCTGAGCACGTGGCTTTTTGCAGGCGGGATGCACATATATACCGGTGCGTCAGCTTGAGGCGCACTTTTTTTCGTGGCCTGTGGAGTTTTGACAAGTTTGCAGGCTATGCTGTGCGAGTTTGTGACCTGGAGTTCAAGCTTGCGCCCGATGACATCCCGGCCAGTGAAGAAGCACCCAGAGCCGACACCGTGGGCGTCCGCATCGATGCAATCGAAGAGGACCTTAGAGTTCTCCACTGCGTTACTTTCCTTGGTTAGCTTAGGGTTCTCCATGTTGGTGGAGAATGGCTTCCTACACTAGGTTTTCAAACCATGTTTCCAGCAGGAGCAGAGCCAGGGCGTGCAAAAACAAACGGTTGTCTTGTCACAAGGCTTGTGGTTCATATTGCAATGTATGTACGACCTTGCACATGGGCATGTTCGGACGTCGGAGTCGCTTTCTACGCAAGGACTCCGCGGCACCGCAGCACGCTCGGGGCAAAGACGCCCCTTCCGAGAATTTGCATGAGGAGAGCGCTCGGAGCAGGGGAGTTTTTAGGGCTTTATTGAAGATGCTAGCAGCGGAGGCAGACAGACCGTGGGACCCGACGGAGTCTTCCCACCAGTGTCAAACCACGTTTGTTCAAACCGATGCGTTGTACTCACCAAGGTCTGGTACGACTTTATAGAGATGACAGAGATATTGTGAGATGTATATGAATATCTATTATCCATCTACCTATCCATCTATCTATAATCCATTAATCTATCTATCTTTTTATCTATACACATGGTAAAGTTGAGTTTGAGTGTAGAGAACATCGCCAAAGGTTGTCGCGCCCTCATGCGTGGACACGCAGAGATCCCACCGAAATTCCCGGCAATGACTGACGGTCTAAGTACGAGGACTCGCAGTCCCCCTGCGATTTCCGTGTCCAGTGACCAGCATGCGCTGACCACAGCATCCATGCCCGCACCATGAGCTAGCAGAAGCAGTGTTGCATAGGCTTGCCAGCTGAGCAGCGTCCCGAGCACAGAAGTACAGAGATGCCAGCGGTGCAGCTCATGAGATCGATTTATGCGATTGTTTCCTTCGGCTACGTCCGGAGTGAGAAACCGACTCGAACAGCAGTCGCGTTTCCCTGTAGTGCCCAACCCTAGATGCTCCTGCAGAGTGCCGAAGGAGGAAGGGCAACCTATTTCTAGTGTAGTAGGGGCAGACATTAGAAAAGCTGATTGCGTCTACCAGTTCCTGATCATGATCAAAGCCCTCAGACGCCCAGAGTGCCAGCGCACGCGCCCGAAAGCGTGCGACACGACATGGCCGCATGAGTTTCTTTCACGCCCCCCGATGTTCACTGACAAGGCGAGCGACGGCAAGCGAGAAAGGCCGTGCACAAAAGTGCAAGTATCTCCGAAGAGTAATTGAAGTGTAGTATAGTAAAATCCGGACCAGGATGCTCATTCCATGTTGGGGATAGACGTTCCCGTCTCAAGAAGCGCCCAAAGCTTCGCACCTTGGAACGGCCCCTGAGTCATACACCTTCGAGTCTTATAAGACGGCAGCCGGGTCCATGAGAGGAGCTTCCCGGAGCCCCGGAGCCGAACCTCATGGGCTCAGAATCCGTGCCTGGGCCAACCAGAACAACAAAGTGAATGTTGGAAGGCGTCATATGAGTCATATGTTCAGAGTGGTCCAACCACAACGTGCACTTAAGGCAGAGGAGCCTCCGGCCATCTCCACGGACATGTTGGACGTTGGGATTTTGGTGATTGACAGCGCCGAAGCTGTCGACACAAAGGCGCGTGCGTGGGCCCGAAGAGCATCCCCCGACCTCCCAGAATTGTTTTGTCTTGCTGTCGCGTGGCACCTCCCTTCGCAACCTGAGAAATACATCTGTGTAGACGTGTACATGCCGTTGCAGACAGCTGGCACTTCTTGATGTTGTGTCCTCATTGTCCCTTCTTGGAGGAGGAAGCATGGCAAAGTGCGCCTGGTTCGCCAGGACCTTCAAATGAGGCCGGGGTGCTGTGATGCTGTGTGATCTCGCAGGCTGGGGATGTTGGGAGAGGCGAGGTTTCTTATCCCGTTCGACTGCTGTGATGGAGGCTGCTGTGATGGTTGATGGTGTGGTGCGGCAGTGAGAAAGAAAGTCCTCCTGAGGTCTGCGTCTCTGAAGTTGCCATTGACCATCGCGGAGGACCGTCCTGCTCCTGCATGGAGCAGCGAGGAGAGCTCGAATCCTGTCGACCTTGAGTCGAAGTTGCCTCCAGCCAAGAAGGGCAAAGCTCAGGGTTTGAAGAAGAATGGGGGGCGGAGCACCTGGAAATCCAGGGCCAAGCCCTCCAGGGTCTCCACCGGTGCTGCTTGAGCACCTGCAAGGGCTTAGCCCAAACACCCCAACAGCCTCAGAGCCTCCACGCCTTAAGCATCTCACTTGGTAAGACCCCATGGCTCCATACTGAGCCCTCGCAGCCCCCCATGCACACAAGCTCCGGCAAGGGGCATGCGTGACAATGTCACGTTGTTTCCTGGTGCAGAACATGCGCCGGGCGAACTCTTTGAGCCGCATGAGGCGAAATCTTTGTTAACCAACTTTTCAGGTGAGCCTACGGCAATCAAAGACATGGCCGATGTCTCATGCAAGTATATCGTACAATGTGTTCAGGACAGTACACTTTATTCGAGAAAAAACATGCGCAAGAAACACAACGTGCTGTATGTACTGTAGCGTGGCGGTTGCAATTGGCCCACCGGCTTGGGTGCTCTGGCACTCTAGCTTCTGTTGTGAGAATTCTGGCGCGAGGATGCCGAAACAACGTGTCGGGGCTCGATCTCAGCTCTCGCCATGTTTTCCTGCGACCCAAAACGACTGCAGAGTTTGCAATGTCTACTGCTTCATGCCCAGAAAACAGCCGACGATCCCTAAAACATGCAGGCCTAAAAGCACCCCAATCTTCCACACCGAGGCAGGCTTGTGACCAGCACGTTGGATTGCGAAGCCCGGGGCCGAGCCTTGCAGGGTTTAGGGTTTAGGGTTTAGGGTTTAGCGTTCAGGGTTTAGGGTTTGGGGTTTGGGGTTTGGGGCTTAGGGTGTGCCCGAACTGCCTCTGTCCATCCTTCCGCTCGGGGACAGAAGGCTTCAGCATCTTTTGTTTGCTCCAGGGCTCAGGGTTTGGAGGTTTAGGGCTGTTTTTTTTTTTTTTGGGGGGGGGGGGGGGGGGTTCAGGGTTTAGGGCGTTGAGGCCTTTTTTGTGGGTTAAGGAGGGTTTGGTCGAGCTCTCATAGCTTAAGCTTGGGCCATCTCGGTGGTGGGGGCTCCCGGTGCAACCCGGCAACCCCTTCACAGGTCAACCCTCTTCCCTAAATGAAATCCTGAAGCCTAAAAACCCTAAACCCTAAACCCTAAACCCTAAACCCTAAACCCTAAACCCTAAACCCTAAACCCTAAACCCTAAACCCTAAACCCTAAACCCTAAACCCTAAACCCTAAACCCTAAACCCTAAACCCTAAACCCTAAACCCTAAACCCTAAACCCTAAACCCTAAACCCTAAACCCTAAACCCTAACCATCGCGAACCTTCGGCCCCCTTTAAACCCCCTAAACCCTCTAAATCCTATAAACCCTCTAAATCCCGCAAACCCTCTAAAACCCCCTAAACCCTCCAAACCCCCTAAACCCCCTAAAGCCCTAAGCCCTCAACCCCTACGCCCTAGACCTTCTAAAGCCGCTAAACCCCCAAACCCTCCAAACCCTCTAAACTCTGCAAACCCTCTAAACCCCATGCACCCTCTGAACCCTCTAAACCCTCTAAACCCATAAACCCCCTAAACCCACTAAACCCTCTAAACCCCTAAACCCCCTGAACCCAAAACCTTCTAAACCCCCTAAACCCCTAAACCCTCTAAACCCTTTAAACCCTATAAACCCTAAACCCTCTGAACCCCTAAACCCTAAACCTTGTAAACCCCTAAACCCTCTGACCCATCTAAACCCCCTAAACCCTCTAAACCTTCTGAACCTCCTAAATTCTAAGCCCTCTAAACCCGCTCAACCCTCTAAGCCCCTAAGCCCTAAACCCCTAAACCCTAAACCTTCTAAACCCCCCTAAACCTCTAAACCCCCAAACCCTCTAAACCCTCTAAATCCTACAAACCCTCTAAGCCCCCTAAACTTAGAACTGTACTTATAACCCACTCGTAAGCCCCTCAACTGCCCCCATTATGCATATAAGTACAGTTATAAGTACAGTTAACATTGGTTAGTGAGCACCATGAACCTCCAAGTAGAACCATTAACCCGTTCAATGGATGCTCTCGGGATGCTCAATGGATGCTCTCGGGATTGGCGTCGCTCGCGTGGCCCTCGGGTGCTCATCGGCGGCGCTCGCGGCGGTCAGAGTTTTGGAGCCAACTGTTGCCAGTGGGTGTAGGGCACAGGGTTTAGGGTTAGTCTTTGGGATTTCGGGCTTAGGGTACAGGGTTTTTAGGGTACACTCTTTAGGGTTTCGGCTACCAGGGGAGCTGCGCGGCGTCGCAAGATCGTGAGAGCCCCCAAGCTCCATAAAGCGAAGCCCTTTCTGGGGTTTCCGAAGCGGCCCCACGAGCCCAACAAGAACTTTTGGGACTTAGGGGTAGTAGTTAGGGGTTCATGTTTAGGGGCACTAAGGGGGTTTAGGGTTTCATGTTTAGGGGTAGTGGCATAGAAGCGGAAGCTTCTCAGGACACGCGTCGGGGCTTCCAGGTTTTAGGGGGGCCGGGTGCTAGAGGAGGCAATGACCCCACATCCCGATCCCCGCCTATCAACGACCATTCTCCGAAGCAACTTCTAGAGTGGTCGACTTGCAAGCCCGCGAAGCCCCAAATGCAGGCCTGAACTCCCGAACCCCTCAACGCCCTCAACTCCCTGACCTGCCTGAGCGCTTACAACGCTGCCTTGAAAACGCCCTACAAACCCCATAAGCCCTAGAGAAACCCTGTAAACCCTCTACGCTCTACACCCTAACCCTTCCCCCGCTCCCCATCCGTTCAACTCCAGGTCCGGCCCCTTGCGCTCACCTGGTAAAGGGCGAGCCCGAAGGCGCCTTGCTTGGGGCTTCATTGGATACTTTCAGGTAGAGTTTCAGGGTTAAGTTGAGGGTTTAGGGAGGGTTTTTAAGGGGTTTAGGATCCTTAGGGCCTTCGGGTACTTGAGAGTAGGGCCATAAGTCGGGTCATAAGACATGACACCCTACAAGGCTTGGTAGCCCAAATGAAAAAGGAAAAGTGTGGCCCGATGATCATATGGCTACTGGGCGACCAAATAAGTCTTAGACTTACCGATGAAGCTCCAAGTAGGGTCTTTTGAATGGCTTGTGGGTTTCAGAACTGGCTGCAGGCCTTTTTGGGGCTTCGGGTTCCGGAGTTTAGGGATGTTGTTCGGGGTTTGCTTGGGCTTTCACAAAGGGGGCTTCATGAAGGCATGGTTCAAGGTGTTGCGGCTTCGGACGGGAAGGTTTAGGGTTCATGTGGTTCAGGAAAGCTTCTGGCTTGGGTTCTTGAGGGGTTCAAGGCGCGAGGGGTTGAAGGCGCAAGGATTCGAAAGGGACTCTCCGTGACTAAGGCAGCCTGAACATCATGCTGCAGTGGGATTAGGCTTGAGCTGTCTCTGGGGGTGGGTTTCCTTCGGGTGGAGTGGAAGGGTGAGGGGGGCCTTTCCTGAACATTGTGATGGGTGTCTTCGTGATTGTTCGGCGTTAGGGCTGTTCGTATCTAAAGGCCTGCTTTGCAGCATTGAAGGAAGGCATGAACATGTTAGCCCTAAACCCGAAACCCTAAACCCCAAACCCTAAACCCCCGAAATTTGTTTTGCTCCCAGGCTGGATGCCTAGCACAGCGCAGCCACGGGCGGGGCGCCTGCCCAGGCCATCTGGGTTGAGAAAGCGTTTCCGGTCTTCGAAGATGCGGTGACTTTTTTTGAAGGTTGTAGGGTTTCAGGTCTGGCGCTCGCTCAAGGGATCAGGGGATATAAATATAGACATGCATATATATATATATATAAATGATCTTGCATTAGCATACACTTTGTTGTATCTAGTTCGTTCAAGGCAAGTCTCCTGAATCGGTTGCTTAAGGGTTCGGGATGGCGCGGTATCGAGGCCAGCCATTAGGTTGGTGCACGCTTTGGATGTCCGGATCGTTCTGTTACGCCCGTTTTCAAGAGCGTCCCTGGCCTAACCCACCCCCGAAAACCCTAAACCCTCATAACCGTCATAACCAAAGAGCTCCACGGAGTGTTGGGACTCCAGGCTATGGTTATGCCAATGCATTTGTTGGAGTTCAGGTTTGCCGCTTTGAGGGCACACCGTAGTTCAATGAAATTCCCCCCCCCCTGCTCTCAGCCGCAACCCTTAAAACTTACAATCAAATCCCTTAAGCCCTCTCCAGATCGAAGCCTGCGGAATTTCCCTTCTGCTGTTCATAATCTTTGTTCTGCCCACGAGGAACTTGACTTGAAGATACATCAAAGGTGTTCCTTTGTGCAGCTTGTCGCTCATCAAACTTGCGATTTTCGCTGTTTCTTTCGATCCTCGCAATCAATACCTTCTCATGAAAGTCCTTGGCCTTCCAGTTCGGAGTTCAGTGTTTGGGGTTTCAAGGGGTTTCGCAGCTTCATTGGGGCTAAGATTAGGGCGGTTCAGCGTGAGTTTGAAGCCTCGTGCGGGTTTTGTGGGGCATATTTGGGGTTTGGGGACGGGGCCGCGGGTTAGGACAGCAAGGTTAAGAGTTGTGCGCAAGTCTCAAGCTCGACGTGAATGGCTGAGTGTTTCTTTGGAAAATTTGTGTGGTTTTTTTCTGGTTGTTGATTGGGAGTGGGGGTTCGAATCTGGGCTTTCCAGCTTTTGGTTTAGGACTGCGGTGTTCATGAGGGCTTGGGCTTAGAGCGGCAAGCTTTCTTATTGTTGTTGTTTCGGTTGTAGGGCTTCGACATAAGGTTGATTGGGCTTATCAAACCTCAACCCTAAACACCCCAAACCCTAAACCCGAAACCTACAGGGGGGGGGGGAGGTGTTCAGGGTTTAGGGCTTTCTTGTGGGTTAAGGAGGGTTTGGGTTTGTAGTCAAGAGTCCAGAGAGGCTTTTGCGGATGAGCTCTCATAGCTCAAGCTGGGGCGGTCTCAGTGATGGGGGATCCCGGTGCAACCCCGGCAACCCCTTCGCAAGGCACCAGGCCCCCTTCGCTAAATGAGATCCTGAAGCCGATGAAACCCTCCCCTACATGTGGGTGGCTGTCAAAATTATGGTCCCCTTTTTGGATCCCGACTACAATACGGCACCCAATATTTAGGGTGCCCCAAAAGGGATGATTTTGACCGCCACCCATGTAAACCCTGAGCCCAACGAAACCGTAAAGGTCACGAACCTTCGGCGCGCCCCGGGTCCTTCAGCCCTTTCCGAAGCCTCCTATTCCGCGAGAGCCTGAGACGAATCCTGCGACCCCAAGCCCTTGAAATCCCAAGAGGCTCAAAACCCTCAACGCTTCAAATTCAGCTTCAGGCTCAAGGGTCAAGGGTTTAGGGTTTGGGGTTTGGGGTTTAGGGTTTAGGGTTTAGGGCTTAGGGTTTAGGGTTTAGGGTTTAGGGTTTAGTCATGGCGAGGTCGTGGCAGTCATGGCGGCGAGGTCGCGATGCCTCAACACGGCCCCTCCTTGACAGTGCTTCGGCTCGGTCAGGTTTGAAGCAGCTCTCGGGGTGTCGCCTTGCACCCTAACCCCTGAACCCTACAAACCCTCTAAGCCCTCTAAACTCTCTAAACTCTCTAAACCCCTAGACCCTCCAAATCCTACAAATTCTCCAAATCCCACAAACCCTCTGAAACCCCCTAAACCCTGAACCTTCTAAACCCTCTAAACCCCACTAACCCTCTAAACCCCTGAGCCCTCTGAACCCTCTAAACCCCCTAAACCCATAAACCCCCTAAACCCTCTAAACCCCTAAACCCC